AACCAATGAGAACCATTCTTGCCTCACCCTGAATATATCTATAAAATCTACCAAGAAGGAAGAAAAGAGGTCTTATGTTGATGTCCGGCCTTGAGGATAGGTCTTATGTTTTCTTCTGGCTTAGGGACTGAAGCTTTGGCTCTATATAGACCATGGAGATGGGATCCTGGCAGTTTTTGGAACAGGGGGCTTGACGAGATGACCTCAGATCAGCAGATGCAGTGATTAAACAAACCAACTACACCATGTCGTATACAATAGATAAGTTTTATTCTCAACAATAAATTTACCAATGTTAGAATATTTCATGGTAATGTAATTTTCAAAACAGTTCATCTGAAATCACACCTTCACAGTTAATTATTAAATTCATTGAATCACATAGTTAATTTCTTGTAAATATAATTTATATATATTCTTTATTTAACATAAAAATAAATTAAGTTTTTTAGTAAATGCTATTTTAATTCTGCCACCCATTCATGTCTTGATGATCACAGGTAATTAGAAAGCATGATAAACATAAACCAGCCTTTGACAAAAGAAATCCAATTAATTAATCATGGACCAAATATATTATAGATCCAAATTTATTTTACTACTTTTTTATAATTAATTTTTATTAAACATTACTGGATAATTATCATCAATAATTATTCAGTGACATCCCAAAATAAAATTTAAACACCCCAAAACGTAGCAACTTTAATGGCATCCTTTTGTGGGGATAGGACATAGCAATACATATATATATATATATATATTTTTTTTTTTTTTTTTTCTGTTGGCATTACAGACCATGTAGCAGAGATGGGCATATTTATATTCAAAAATATAAATACGAATACCATTTATATTTATGGAACAAATGAATATAAATACGAATATATTCGTATTCATAAAAAGTAATATGAATACAGAAGATACGTATTCATGACTGTAAATATAAATACGGCCGTATTTACGACTGTAAAAGTGAATACGGCTGTATTTACACCTGTAAAAGTGAATACGGTAGTATTCAGATTTACTAAAATGAATACGGTTAAATTTACAGAAGTGAATGGAAATATTTTCACAAAATCTTATTAATGAATACTCTTATTTATTTAAAAAAATGTATTTATTAAATTATTGATTTAAAAAAAAAAGATTTGCTATATATATCATTTAATATTTATAAATAGTACTATTATTCTCCATTTTACAATATGTTTTGTTAATTATGTTGCAATATATTATGTTATGTTAATTATCACATATTCACGACTGTAAATATAAATATGGTCGTATTCACGATTGTAAAAGTAAATAGGGCTGTATTTACACCTGTAAAAAAAGTGAATACGGCAGTATTCACATTTACTAAAATGAATAGCCTTAAATTTACAGAGGAGAATGGAAATACTTCCACAGGGGCAAGAGCTGTCAAATTTGAATAGTGACCTTTCCGGACCTGCCGTTCAGTGTGTAATGTGTGAATATATTTGTTAACGTGTTAAGTTTTGCATATAAAACAATGTATGAAGTTGATAGCGAAACTGAGTCTGTTTAGCAGGCTCTTGTAATCTGGATGATAGGGATTTATTTTTTCAATTTTTTTTTCACGAGAGTACCTGATCTATAAGAAATTCCAATATTCTCATCTACTCAGAATTTTTATTGGGGGGGAGGAGAGAGGCGATGCCCGAAGAATATAATACTATATATAAAAATAAAATGGTTTATATAGAAATTTTTTTTAAATAAATAATTTAATAAACACATTTTTTTTTATAAATAAGAGTATTCATTAATAAGATTGTGTAAAAATATTTGCATTCATTTCCGTAAATTTAAGCGTATTCATTTTAATAAACGTTAATAATGCCGTATTCACTTTTACTAGAGTAAATACAAAGGCTCGGGAATTTATAATACGTACAAACATTACAAGTGATAATTAACATAACATAATACCTTGTAACATAATTAAAATAACATATTGTAAAAGGATGAATATAATACTATATATAAAATAAAATGATATATATAGTAAATATATTTTTTTAAATAAATAATTTAATAAATACATTTTTTTTAATAAATAAGATTATTCATTAATAAGGTTGTGTAAAAATTTTTGCATTCACTTCTGTAAATTTAACCGTATTCATTTTAATAAACCTAAATACTGCCGTATTCACTTTTACAGGTGTAAATACAGCCGTATTCACTTTTACAGTCGTAAGTACGGCCATCTCTGCCATGTAGATCCTTTGCTGCCTTAACAAGCCTGCTCCATCTCTGTCAGTCTTAGGCTATTTCATTCCATGCACCCAGTTCTAAAGCATTTTTGTTGATTCTATCTATCCATCTGCTTTTTGGCGTTGGACACGGATTGCTACGAGCTACATGCTCCACCCATCTTAACCTCTGTGCCTTCATATTATGGGATATTGATTGATCAGTTTCTGCAAGCAGTTATTTATTGGTCTTTCTTCTCCATGCGTTAGTACTCTGATTCCAGATCGCTCCAGTTATTGTGCAGAGAATTTTTCTCTCGAATCTTTCAATATCTTCTTCTTGAGTGCTGGTTTTATCATAGCATTGTACACCTTCAATTTGAGATTTCAATACCTTTGAAAGGGAGAAAAATGCTCTGTTTGAGCTAGTTATACGTTGTCTATGGTAGTTATAAGCTGGTCTATTTCTGCCCGTTGATCATTCATTGAGGTTATTGTGGAACTGAGGTACTCCAAGGTATAGATAGCTATTCAAAATGGCTTGAGGTTTTTCCAACTATTTCTAAGTTAACCTCTACCACAGTTTGCGTCAACTATGAGCAAGATTTGATTTGTGGGAAGAATTGGTTAGTGATAATTTAGCAGCATTTGATTCTGAATTACTTAAAAAAAGTTTTCTCACAATGGACTTTGAAGCAAGGACCGCCCTATTCACAAAAACCAATGGAGCAGATGAAAATGCGGTGATGACCGTCAAGAAAGCATTGAAGATAGCGCTATGCTCTGAAAAGTGTTTTGATTTAAGTATGTTACTAAACAGTTTTCTTCTTGAATATCTCAACTGCCCATATATAACTACGGGGATATCTCCAGCTGAAGCTTTGTTTGGCAGGTCATTACGAACAAGACTCGATCTATTGAAACCTCCTTCAACAAAGACTAAAGTGAAACAGCAACAAGAACAAATAAAAGCATGTGTTGGGAGGCCCAAAACAAAGAGCTCGTCTGCAGAGGGAGATAGAGTATGGGTAATGAAACACAACCAGAAGATAAGTGGGTACAAGCTACAGTGGAAAAACATCTTGGTCCAGCTAAAATAAAAGTTTTTGTACCATCAAAGAATACAACTTGGATTTATCATTTGGATCGGCTGGCACCAAAGAATCATTAATCAAATTATTTAGTGACGAGGAGCCCCCGGGCACCTCTAAGCCGAGTAAGAATAAATCAGACAGCGACCCTCAAATAGCCACATATTTGCCTATATTGTTGGAGAAGAGCTGTACTATGATGGCTGTTCCCAGTGAAGAAACTCAAATGTTCCTAAGAAGAATTACAAAATTTGTAAGTAATTTAGGTGTTAATTAGTTAAATAGTTGTTTATGTTGAGGTTGGAAAGAATGTAGTAAATTAACCTTTTGTAGTAATATCATTTTAGTATTTAACCGCTTTGGATATCAGACATATGTTTTTTATAGATATAACCACACATATGTAATTAAGAATAATAAATTGAAATTATTCATGCTATATTAACTGTGAAGTGCTTGATACATTAGATAAACAATAATAAAATAATAGTAACAACACAATGAAATTAACAAAGCAATAAAAAATTAAATATAAAATAAAGGTTAGATATATATAATTAAATTTGATTAATGGTTGATATATAAAATAACGTTAACAGTTAATAAGGAACTTATGAAATAACAGAACACAGTTTGTTTATTTATAACTTTCAGGGAGTTATAAAATAAAGGTAATAAAGTAATGAAATGAACAATAATTAAATGACAGTAACAACATAATTAAATTAACAAAGAAATGAAAAATTAAATTACAAAGAAATGAAATGGAATATTAAGAGATACAAATGTTAAGTGGTAAACATAAACTAAACAGTGACATAATTGATATACATTGATGTCTTAATATATTAAGAGGACTTGAGATAGACATAAAATAAAAATGAAAAAAAAAAAAAAAGGAATATGAAGTTATATAAAGTAAATAATAAAAATAAATAGAAAAAATAAGATGTAGCGAAATCTGTTGAAGTATACTATACAAATAGAAAAGAATTGAAAAATTAAGTTATGTAAATTAAGAGACTAAGACACAATGGGTAAATTTATTTAAAAAATAGTGGTATGCATTGGAAAATAGAATAAAGGAAGAAATATAACTGATGAGAATAACAAAATAAATGATAAATAATAGGACGCACATGTTCCCTTTAAAGGATGTCGATATGTCATTCCATACATGTTAATGCAAAAGGTTAATATACAACAGTTTACTTCATCACTTTATTACCTTGATTTAATAACTTCTTAAGTTTGTTCCATTACTTCATAAATCTTAAACTTAGGTACTGTTATCTTATACATCTCAACTTTCTTATCGATATTTTATACGTCCCAGCTTTGTTAATGTTACTTTATACTTACTTAATTTATATATCATATATTTGCCAGTCCATACATTTATTAATGTTAAGTTTAACTACCAAGATGTTATTTGACTAAATCTTATACCTACATATTATTACTATTACCATTTATTATTTTCGCAATATTTAAATGCTATCTTGTCTTTGCTTAGCCCTGAAACTAGGGCCAAAACGTGGGCACAAAGGAAGTAAAAATAAATATAATTTATTTATTCTTACTTTGCATTTTCACTGACGGACTGAAAACTCCAATAAACGTCTCTAAAATACATCTGCTACAGTCAACAATTATCTACTATCCTAAAATAAAAATTACTTACTTTATGGTAAGTGTCTTTTTGCCATGTTTTCACACTCTGCATTACAACATTTGTAAGATCATCTTTAACTCTTAAATGCAAGTCACATAGCCTATCAGCTTCAATTAAAACACCTTTCCAGGCAGCTTCAGTTGTCCCATACTCTGGGCCTAATAATTCATAAATAATAATTATTGAAACAAATAACAAAACAAAATAGAGATAAAGATATCATTATCAGTATTAAGCATTTCTATCATCCCTAAATATTCAAGAGAAAAACAAACAAACACCATATTGCAGCCAATGAACTAATGCTTAAATAATTATAGTAATACAAGATTTAGGAATACAATTCTAGAGTAAGCAGGAGACACTCAAAGAACAAATTCAACCTTAATAAAAAGGGATTGAATCTGTCTAACAATTAAGGGGAACCAGATAATTGGGAATCATACTGACCACACTACTTTCTCATACTAATAGTTAAAATTAGTACTTCAGATCACTTACCGAAATCGCAAGTCTCCCAGGGGAGTAGTGATATAAGCTTAGACAAAGGGTTTGTAAATTTCAAATAGGATGAAAATGCTTTATATCTGTAAACCGGGGGTAAATAACACCATGTCTAGTTTTGCATTTGTTCAGGAGAGCCAATTTTTCTTAACTTTCAGCAACTAAAATTTGTTTCTGTGTTACTAAATCTTTATCCTGGAGGTAAAGGACACAATGACACATTTTGATATTCGTTTGGGAAGCCAATGTTCCATAACTTTGAGCTATTAAAATTTTTTTCTTAGTTACAAAATCATTTAATTAAAAAAATGGACATGGTCTTTTACTTCCGGGGCACAGATGTATGGTGTGAATTGAGATCAGAGATTCAAAAATAAGCGATAATGATAGTAATGCTTCGCCTAAAATAAACAATGAAAAGTTTTCAAGAAAAACTTTAATGTAATTAAACATATGACTTGTTAGATCAAACACTAATGATCAATTTAAATACTCTAATTAAGTCAGAATTTATAAAAGATATTATGATATTTAGATGCTTTACTTAATGAAATTCAAGATTAATAGGTCAGTATCTCAGTAGATGTATGTTACTCTGAGCCTGAATTTCAGTCATACAAAATGATTATAGCTATTATCTATAATAATCAGAATGTAAACAATTACCAAATAGTCTCTTCAAGATAAGATTTACAATGTAAGTTTTAACCATAAAACAACAAAAAATGTCTGTATCTAACTCAATGATATTCAAACTAAACAATATACCAGACCAAACACCAAGAAAACAATTTATAATTAACTTCTGAATAAATGTTGATATCATACACTTTCAGAATACAGAAAATAAAACATGCCCAGCATACTACTTGGAGACTAAATAACTGTACAATAACACGATAAAAAACAGAAATATAAAGAAATATTACAAAAAATAAAACAAAAAAGAACCTTTTTCAATAAGATCATTCCATTTACGAGACCATCCTCTAAGACTTTTGGCGTAAGCCTTCTCAATTTCTCCTCTTTCCTGAATTAGTGTGACGAGGTCTGTACAAAGTTTATAACCATCTTCAATACGCTTAGTAGTTCTTTTGTAATTTCCAGGTTCCCAGAAACTATCACTGGTTGCCATTAGCATAGTATCATCACTGTGATGTGACATGCTGAAACAGAAAATACACGTATTTTAAATGAACGTTTTGTCATCTGTTGGTGACAACATAGACATAACAAAAAAATAGAAATAATGATAGTCATTATCATTAAAAGTGAAGTGTGAAGGATTCACTAACTAATCTCAAACCTAACAACTTTAAAATTAAAATACATACACACTGCCCAAAATCATAAGATCTAATTAACAAAACAAGATAAAGTACCTAGTTATGAGAACCAACTATTCTCAGGGCCAATTGAAAGTTACTCCAATATATATTATACACCAACGGTTTTTAATATGATTAAAAGAACGTGGATGTAGCCATCCCTATCATAATTAGAAACTTGTAACAGTTCTTAATAGAATTATCGAAACCTACGGTCTGATAAAAACAACTCCTACTCACAGGTAAAGATAATGAACACAGAATAGCAGATGCAATGGGTACTAAATAACACAAATTATTATCATTCTTCTTTTTTCTAAGATAACGTATATAGTTTAAAATGATAATTTAATTTATAATTCTCCTTAGATCCACAAAATTTTTAAACATCAAATAATAAAAATCAACAGAGAGGTATAAGGATATCTTAAGCACTATTAGAGATAAAATAAAAAAATATATATATACTTTTTCTCCTATGCTTAAGTAATGCCTGCTTGATCAGCCATGCGTACTCAAGCAATCCAATATAATTTTGCTCTCCTAGCATAAGGGCTGTCCATTTCACTAAAGGAACATCTTATGTCTTGTAATGTAGAGCATGTATCAAGATGTTCTCTTGTCATAATATCCAAGGAGCACTGAGGACATGTCGGGCTATCTTTAATACCGATGAGATGGAAGTGCTTCTGCAGGAAATCATGCCCTGTGAGCATTCTAAAGCATGCTTGCCACGGCTAGCCCTCGAGGGATGCCTCCCAAGACCCTGCCACTTTCTTCCAGCAATCCACTTCATCGCTTCTCTTCAATATTTTGCGGATATTTCTCCTTCAGTGAACTTAGGAGGGTCTGTTTTATTATTCTTTTAATCGAATGCATGCCCAGAGGAATATCTGATTGGATCATTCCAGAATCTATTCTGGCCAGTTTGTCAGCTTCATCATTATTGGAGCCCGCAATGGCGTGGTATCCACTGGAAAGCAGATTCTGTCCCATTTTCCTTTAATCGGTCCAAATACAGATGGAATTTAGGAACATTTGGATTAATATTATATCCATTTTGGAGAGATAAAATGGCTGCCTGTTAGTCAAAAACGAAAGGAACTTCCTGGTCTTTCAGTTCAACCCATCGCTCTAGGCCTAAGAGAATGGCTTTCAATTTCCCTTAAAAGTTTGTGGCTACCTTTCCGACCGGGGCAGCAAGTTGAAACTCCTTTGAATAAACTCCTGCTCCTGCATGTTTGCGTGCTTCCAGTACAGAACCATCAGTATATACATGGATCTATTCTGTTTCTGTAAATCGCTTTCCGATAGTTTCTAGGGCTATAGCCTTTAGTTGGTAAACTGGGTTGAGAGTTAGAAACGTTCTGAAGAAAATCATAGTGTACAACAAATTGGCTTGTGTATGGAACTTGTGTCAATGTTGGAAGAGGCTCCCTTTCAGCTAGTTCTAGTCCTTTCTTTTTATCAAACCTTCTACTGCTTTGGTAAAAGTAATTTGTGTTTTAAGGTGTTCCGGTGCGGGTTCATAGTTACTCCAGCAGCTGATCTTATGACGTTTTAGTCTTTCATAGAGCGTAATGGCCAGTTGCTCCCAGTGTGTCTCAAGAGATACTGCGCCTGTTTGTAATTCTAGCGCAGATATTGGAGTAGATCTGCTCCCTCTTTTCACGAGTCTGAGGGCCTGATTTTTAATTTTATGTCCAGATTTTGTAATATCGCTTCCAAAGAAGTGATAACAAGTTCTGCACCATATTCAATAACATGGCGGACATATGTTTTGTAGGCAAGAGCTATAACATCCCCCGTTGCTCCCCATTTCGTTTCACCTATCCTCTGTATTAACAAAAGTCGTGTTGAAGCCTGTTCTAATTGTTTCTCAATATGTTTATTCCAGGTGAGTCTTTTATCGAGTTTCATTCCAAGATATGTAGCTTCTTCTGTGCGTTTGAGCTCCTCATTATTACGGTTCTAATTTATCTCGTGTGATTTGGTGGATAGGATAAAAAGTCCGTCTTTTCGGAATTAATGATCATCTTGTTTTCATTGGCCCATTTCTCTAGTAATTTCAGCAACTGTTGCATGTGCTTTTCTAGTCCTTTAAAGTCACTATTTGTTGCCCAAATGACGAAGTCATCTGCGTACAGTATGTCCCGGCAGTATGTCATCTGGGCCTGCGGTTTTACCTTTCTTAGTTCTACTAAACTGAGTTCTGCCCTTGCGCTAGTATCTTTCCACCCACCTGCTACATCGTCTCTCAAAATTATCTTAATTACCAGTGAATTAGTCAAAAGTTGTGTTAAGTGCAATTGAAGAATTATAAAATACATTCTCCAATAGATCATAAACACGGTGAGTAACCGCTTGTTTATTAAGTTTAAACAATAGTGTAAACAATCATAGAATTAGATAGAGTGGCCATTCTTATCTACAGTTCCCCTACTTATGGCCCGGTAGGCTCAGTGCCTGTTGGGCTGTCAAGAGAGCTAGGTTATATCACTCGGCCCTCTATCGGTCTGCATAATTTTTACGTACTCATAAAAAAAAAAAAAAAATTGTTTTCAATAGTCGTTGACATGAAATGCGATATTATCATATGACAATGTCCAGCAAGAACAAAAGATCAATGACCAGTGGGGTCGAAAACATCTATAAATTAAGATGCCTGTACTATACTAGCATAGTTGTCGAAAAACGTATGCAAAACGGGAAATAGTACAATTTCATAATTGCCAATCTTATGGCCATACTAAAAGTTATTTCCATTCGTGAAGTGCGGGCAGCAACATAAGTCGGAAGATTGCAATAAGTCCAAGCAAACTCCTGCGGTGTGTGCATTATGCCATAAAGATCACCCAGAAAATTACAAAGGATGCCAGACATATAAAATCTTAAAATCAAGATTACAGATCCTAGACATGAAGAGACTTCCAGGACTTCAAGAACACCAAGGCGACCCCCAAGATTTGTAAACCAAGAAGTTTCCTATGCTCAAATGTTAGGAGAATTAGAACAGCATACTCAACCTCAGGCCCTGCCGCAAACTTAACCACTACCTCATCGTTCACCACTCGAGCATAATAACACCCAAAAGTTCAGGCCTCATCAAATATCCTACATTCCTCCCCCTTACAATTTCAATGACCTTACCACCCTCCTTACATCATTCCTCTCCGAAATCAAATCCCTCATCACCCCGCTCATTACCTTACTTACAAATGTTATAGCTGATTTTATCCCATCACCAAGAATTCCTTAAATGTCCTCAATAAAACCCGTCTCCGTTCTCCTTTGGAATGCGAATAGTGTTCGAAATCACATCAACGAACTAACCTTTTTTCTACAGAACAATAAAATAGACATAGGGCTAATAACTGAGACCCGACTAACTAACAAACGACAGTTCAACATACCTGGCTACAAGATATATCGAACTGACCACCCGGATGGCACAGCACATGCTGGCACTGCTGTCATCATCCACCAGAGCCTCTCCCATCACTTGTATCCTTTACCAGTTCACAATTTCCTACAAACCTCAGCGATAACTATCCAAACTTGACTTTTTCCCGTTACAGTTGTCGCAACATACTCTCCACCTAAAATAGCAATACCTGAACCTAACTTTATTTCCTTTCTTAATTCTCTAGGACACCACTTCGTTATAGGTTCAGATCTTAACGCCAAACATCAGCAAAGGGGAGCCAGAACCACGAATTCCCGCGGGCGATCTTTGCTGTCTGCATTTAATTCCCATAATTCCAACACCTGATACGCCTACATACTGGCCAACCGATCAAGGCCTAGGGCCACTAAATTACTCAGTTCTACGGCTCGATGACCTTTCCTCAGATCACAGTCCGTTAAATCTAACCCTTTCCGCATCTCCTATCCCCAGGTTACCTCCTCCCTCATTCATCAGAGGCCCAGTCAACCGGAACCTCTTCCGACAAACAATAACAGATGCAATAGACCTCAGAGTACCCCTAAAAACCCCTCAAGACCTAGATAATGCAGTGAGTTACTTTATCACCTTGATCCAACAAGCAGTCTGGGCTGCATCCTCACCACTCCCCTCCAAAATATACCTTAAAAAGAATCCTCTATCTCAAAACCTTACTGACCTCATTAAATCCAAACGCCAATCTAGGACCATCTGGCAAAGAACAGGGCATCCTGATGATCGGAAATTGTACAATTACTATTCTAAACAGGTTAAAAAAGAACTGGCTTCCTATAGATCCCAATCCTATAATTCCTACCTTTCTTCCCTCTCAACCGATGACAACTCCCTCTGGAAAGTGGCCAAAAAAATCCTTAAATACCAATCTATTTCCCACCCACTCCGACGAGATGATGGAACCTGGGATTCGTCAGATGAGATTAGAGCTGAAGAATTTGCCAAACACCTATCCAACACATTCACTCCCCTACCCCGAACTCCATCCCACCCACACTGCTGAAGTAAAAGAACTCCTCTCTTCTCCGATTCCTCTCTCCTTACCTCCTAAAGCTGTCAACCCCTCTGAGGTCAAATTCCTTATAAACAATTTGAAACCTCGAAAATCCCCTGGACACGAACTCCTTACTTCCCAGATCCTTAGACAACTTCCTAATAAAGCAATCGTATTCCTCACATACCTATATAACTGTACCCTCCGCACAACTCACTTTCCTCTGATATGGAAACACTCCATAATCATCCTCTTCCCTAAACCAAGTAAACCTGTTAATAATACCTCATCATATAGTCCAATAAGCTTGCTCCCGATCCTCTCAAAAATCTTTGAAAAAATCCTTCTCAAACGCATCCTACCCATTCTCGAAACCCACAATATCCCTTTCCATCAATTTTGTTTCCGCTCAAGACATTCCACTGTTCAACAAGGCCTTGGAGCTCTTGGCTGCTTGTAAATATTTTAATTAAGTATGAATGTTTTTCTTTTTTTGTATATTTATTTGTTTTACTTATGACTTATTTAATTTGCAAAGAATTTCTATATTTTTTAAAAAATTTAATTTCAAGTTACATTTTGTTTGGTTTTATAGTTTTTGCCTTTGTTTTATATATATATATATATATATATATATATATATATATATAATATATATATATATATATATATATATATTTTTTTTTTTTTTTTATTTACAACTTTTCCTTAATCGACCTTTGAGTATTAAATTTAAACTTAACTATTTAATTGGGAATATGGTCATTTATTAATTGTTTAATAAACTATTGAATGT